TGATACTCTCTGTACTGTTTAAATTTTGTATGTTTAAAATTTTGCAACAAAAACTTCATAATGTTGATGCACACTCCCAGTTAATTACCATTACTTTATGAGATTTTTTGAATAAGTTAATTTTTAAATGCTGCTATTGAAAATCTTTCTGAAAAGTTCTGGCACACAATACTTTTCAGACTTTACAAGGACAGAACATAAAAATTTATAATTTGTTCTGTAAACACAATGAGTAGGAAAGAGTACAGAGCAGGCAGACTGCACTGAAGTAGGGACGCCAGCCAAGGATGAGTGCTATGAAGCAGCCCCGGGGGTGTGGGTCGGCCCCTGGTCCAGGGCTGCAACTATCTTCCCCACTCTTGTGTTTTTTTTTTTTTTTTTTTTTTTTTTTTTTTTTGTGAAACAGAGTTTTGCTCTTGTTGCCCAAGGTTGAGTGCAATGGCACGATCTCAGCTCACCGCAACCTCCGCCTCCTGGGTTCAAGCAATTCTGCCTCAGCCTCCCAAGTAGCTGGGATTACAGGCATGCGCCATCATGTCCCGCTGGTTTTGCATTTTTAGTGGAGATACTGTTTCTCCACATTGGTCAGGCTGGTCTTAAACTCCCCACCTCAGGTGATCCACCCCTCCTCGGCCTCCCAAAGTGCTGGGATTACAGGTGTGAGTCACCGTGCCTGGCCTTTCCTCGCTCTTAAAGCAGACCAGGAATTAGCCTCTCTGACTCCAGCGTGGCCTCCCTTTTATTAGCTATCCTACAAAGGCCTGGTGAGGTCTTTCTAGAGTGTAAATCTGAATGACCCCCGTGTACGCTCCGAGGCCCATAGATAAATCCCTGCTCCTCAGTGGGATAATCCAGGACCCTTCCCTTAGGCTCCGCCAGTCTCACCTCCCACTGCATGCCCCCAAATACATGATGTTTTTCATGGTCCCTCAGATAGTCCCAACTTTATGTAAATTCTCTGCCTTCAACTATGTTTAGTTTAAGGACACTTCTCCATGAAGCTTTAATTCCCTCACTCTCAGAATGAATCATTCTTTTCACTTGGGTAGGCTTTGCACTATTCTGTTTAATTTCTACTGCAGAGCTCCCTAGCTGTGGATACCTATTGGAAAAACTAACAGAAAGGTTCAGCATTCCTTAAGAACACAAACTCTGGATTCAATTCTATGGACCCAACATCTACGAAAGGGCCTAGAATACACTGGGTTCTCAATGAAAACCACTGGACTGAATTCAGTAATCATTCCTTTGCTTTTCAAGTTCAAACCTATGTAGAAATCTTAGACTTTCACTAAACAATTTTTTCTTTACTAAAATTTAAGTCTACACACTTTGGGGGTAATCTGGTCCACAAACAAGCACATTGAGAACTACTGCCAATCAGGAGAAACCTAATGCTGACCTTTAGAATTTATTCTAACAGATTATCCAGAGAGTAACTTTGGTAGCTAGAATGACTCATTTATCAATATGACATGAAATGACCACTCTCTCCTTGAGTCTGTTTTCTTCCAAAGAACATGGCAGAACTTATAAACTACAGAACTTAGAAACATAGGCTTTAAATGGGACACAGGAGCTGTCTGTAGAGGCTGAAAGGGACAGTAAGAGGCAGACACCTCCTTTCCTTCTGCCTAAAACAAGTAGTTTTTCAAACCTGATTCAATGGAGTAGCCTAAGAGGCCATTACTAAGGATTTGAGAGGGTGAGCTTCAATTAGAAACACGAATTTTGCTGCTTTAAAAAGGTTAGAAAACACCAGCATAAAGAACTCCACCACATCCTTCCCCAGGAAGTAAAGAGAAGCTTATAGGCAAGAAGACTCCCAAGGAAGACACACAGCCTCCAGTGTGGGTAAGCCACTTTTCCAACTCCACAAAGGAACAGACAAATTCAAGCTTGCCCTTGGTCTTCACGTGAAGACCAAAGACCTTTGTCTACCCGTTCGATGTCTGAAGTGGTGACCAGCCTGGTTGGGGCAATGCCCACAAGGACAGTTCCTGGGATGGTCAGCCACCTGCTCCAGGAAGCCTTCTTACATCTTCCCAGGCAAAGCATAGTGTCTCTTTTATGCTTGGATACTTCCTGCCACTCCCCCTTACTCCCCACCTGCCCAGAAGCTATCCTTGTTGTCTTTTGTCTCAATTTTCTGTAGTGAATTTATCTCAGCAGCTAGTGTGGGAGGCCAAGAAGACCATGGCTATCAGCCTGACCCCATGATGACCTCAGTACAGATGCTTGTCCCGGCCTCCTCACAAACATGCTACTAGACTCCAGAGCTGAACAAGGGGATTTGGATGGAGCTGGGACACCAACAGAGTTGAGTCCATATCCTGGTAGTGGCTGGTTAGGAAGGTTAAGTACATGGCCTTTAGGATAAAATGTTCATGGAGGGAGTGAAAGCAGCACCATCTCCTGCAAGCAGGGGACAGTCAGCCTTACTCTCTGTGACTGTCCTGGTGATGAGCAGCTCTGTCTCCAGGACCATGTCATCCCCTCAGTTACTCATGACCCTCACAGCGCCAGTCCAAAGTAAGTCCACATTTTGTCCAAAGGGCTCAAAGTTAAAATGTGGATGCTAAGTGAAGGGCTGGTAGCAAAGGATGAATGCCCAGCACCAAAGACTCGTGAGGGGTGACAGCGTGCTGGCGTGAAGCCCTCTGCTTGAAAACATTCTCCCACTTCCGCTAGATAAAATTTTATCTAAAGGAGCAATTCGTTTAGAATGCAAAAAGATCTGAGTTCAAATTCTGACTTTACCACTTACTAGGAAGGCTTTGTGACCCGTCAACTGCACTCTCTCAGCCACAGGTTCCTCAATATTATGCCCCAAAAGCAGAATACTGTAAATCACTCCATAGTGAGCTTAAATGAGGGAGCATGCATTGGGATGCCTTTCATCTTCCAATTCCCAAACTTCAGAGTACATCTCTGTGAAGTTCATCCCTGGGATGCCCCCTACCACATTTGATTTTGGTTGCTCCTGCTAACACTTACCCAAAGTGCTTCTCTAGTTTACATTCCCATTTACATGGCCAGCTCCCTGAATACGGGATTGGCTGTTAACTGCACGTCACAGTGAGCACCATGCCTGGAACACTCAGTTGGTGTTAGCAGACGGAAAAACAAAGGACTCCATTTTTCCAAGAATAATATGGGAAGAAAGAAGAGAAGAAACTACAAGAAGATGGAGGTGCTTCTTGGAGCTTAAATGCTGAGCCAGTTGCTATCCTACTGCTTCTGTCTCTGTCTCTTCCTTGTGCCTGCCCCAAAGGAGAGCGGGCCAGGGCAGAAAGTCAGGGAACTGTTTCTTTTTTATTAGTAGTAATTTTTTTTTTTTTTAGAAAAATGCAAATACAGCTGTCTGTTTTTACATATGCACATGTATAAAGCAATAGGAAAATTGTTTCTATGGAAGAAAACTCTAAAATTCACTAAGTGAGAAAAAGAGTGCTTCCTACAACCCATGGGAATCACTTCTGATCAGTAGAGCTTTACTCATCACTTACTGGGCTTTCGGTTTAGGGCTGTGTGCCCTGGTGGATCCACAGAAATCACATAGACAGTGCAGAAATACAGCAATTCATATCACCACAGATGGAAACATTGTTATTTGTAAACTTTTGTACATCATTAATTCATTAGCTCAGAGAAACTAGAAACAGAGTCAGAACTTGAGCAAAAACTGGGGTAGTTACATCCATATAGAGAGTATTGCACCTTTGGTTAAAAAGCAGGATCTATAAAGTTATCTTAGTCTTCCAACTGCTCAGCCAGTGCAGCTAAAAGCCAGCCACCATCAGCCACACGTGCGAGCGAGCCAGCATGCTGCCCACTGCAGAGGGCACACCAAATGCTCCTTCCTATTCACTTGTCCTATTCCACAGCCAGCCTTGTTTGCATAAAAGAAGTCGAAGGACTTTGGGAAGAATCCCAGTGTTCATCATTCAGTGTTATGAAACTACACTGTTTTTCAGTTCAGAACAAAACCACAAATTTAATTACTGTATAGAAAAATATCGGAACAGAACAAAAAAAGGCACATGGGAAAGGCTTCGATATGGGCCCAAATCAATTTTTATTATAAATGAAGTCTCCTTCTTGCAAACTATAATTGCTTTACATTTCTAAAATAGGGCATTATAGAAAAATAAACGTCAGGTATGTTTTATTATAAATTTTAGGAAGGAAAAAAGTAGAAAGAAGTAAATTTTAAAAATTACCAATGCCCCCATTTTTCCTATAAAATATATTCTGAGACTGAAAAATGAGGCACAAATAAAAATTTTTAAGTAAACTCAAGTACAAATGAAACTGCAAACGGGTTTGATCAAGAGCTTTCCCATCTCTAGGATCTATCTTTTTTTTTAGAGGCCACTCCTCAGATTTCTATTTTAATAAGAGTGCCATTTACTTAAAAAACAATAGTAAGCAATGTGGAAGAAATGTGGCTGAAAATACTCTGCTAGAAGAGATGTGCATCAAAAAGATGCATTTTTTTAAATAAGTATTCTTATAAATACATTAAAAGCATAAATGAAAATTTCTAAATTTTTTTAAAAAGTAATTTCATGATGACTTTGGAAATTATTCTTTCTAAATAATTTCTACTCAATATTGCATCTCTGGATTTTTTTTTTTTTTTTTTAAGCTTTTCTAGCCCAGGGCTGCTTGGTGGACATCTGAAGGTTAAAAAAAAAAAAATCATGTTTCTGTGTTGAAAAGTTATCAAGACCAGCTCTCTGCTGCATTTGCATTGTTATTAGAAACACACACACACACACACACACGCACACACGCACGCACGCGCACGCACACATTGAGTTTAATGTGAGGCTAGTACAGAAACAGAGAGATTAAACACAAAGAAATGTAAACAGCTCTCACATGCAAGGAAACTAGGTTACGAGAATCCCGGCACCAGGCATTCACCAGTCACCATGGAAAACAGGAAGTGAGATGCATAGCAACCACAAGCCAAAAAGCAGAAAAGCGCATACCTTTAGCTTGGAATGAAAATCACGAGATTTCCTTCTGGCAAGAACCTGAATGTGACTAGACACCTGCAGGGTAGGGGAAGGGAGGAAAACAAAGGAAAAGCCTGTAACCATGGAGATGAAAAGCCCCCTACAAGTGGGCAAGCCAGACGTACCTTAATGGCGGCTTGAATTTCTCGAACTTTCTTTCTTGCTAAGACCTGTATATGACTAGACACCTACATTGTTCGGGTTTATGAGGGGAAACAAAACAAAACAAAACAAAACAAAAAAAGGAAATCAAATATAAAATCTCTACTCCTTGGGAGGGTTTTGGGGTGGGGTGGGGGTGGTTATTTGCATCTCAACAAAGCTCTGCAGTTAGGAATACACAGTCCCAGCCAGACACAAGCCCCCAGCGCTGCTCTAAGCTTTTCATACTGGGTCATCACTGCAGTGACTTGATTCAGGGTGAAAGTTAAGACTCATCTTAGTTTTCCCACCCAAGAGGAATCATGGGCACTGGGAAAAACTAATTTTGGGAGGGATGAGAGGGGCTGTTTTCATTCTAAAATTAAAAAGGTGGGGGTAAAGGTAAATGAAAATATTTATAGCTTCTCAGTATCAGGAGGGAAAATCCCTTTTTCTCAATTTAGAAGGAGACTATCCATAAATTAGCACATTCTGCAGAATCAAAAAGCTGAAGCTGTCAGTTGTATTCTGATCTCATTAAGAGCTCCGGATTCTGTAGCAAATGTTAAAATAATACTGACATGTAAATTAGATCTCAAAGAGAAATGGAAAGACCCAGTTAGCAGAGCTTTTTTTTTTTTTTTTTTTTTTTGCCCTTATAAATATCTTTAATCCTTCCACTCTTTTGGGTATTGACTGGGCGCCAAGTGGATTTGCATATTATTACAAAGCGAAATGTGTGAATACAGCCAGCCAGCCATCCTGTTAAAAATCTGGGTTGAAAACCACACGGATTTGCTGAACAACAAATTCACATTGGAGAGGTATCACCAACTGCTGCCTAAAACCATCCCCAGGATGCCGGGGTGTGGAAACATAGCCAAGCCCAGCTTCTGAAACACAATGATTCCACTGAAATTTGCATCTCTTTCAGTGGGACTTGGTTAAATTTAGAAGAGTCCCCCAGTGAAGGGGTCACCGGGCAAATGACCAGAGCTCACAGACCAGCAGACAGCCCAGGTCCCACACTGTCAGTATGCACAAGATTAGATCTGCCCGTTTCCGAAATTTAGAACCTTCCATTTAAAAGTTCAGCGACTCAGACTCTGACTGCGTGGTGATTACCCCATTTCCAACTCTCCAGCGGCTCTAAAACAGGATTTATGATAATAAACAGTGCTTTTATCTTTAACTTTGTCTTTGAGCTTCAATTATTCAATTATTTTTTTTTCCAATTTGCTTTGGTACTTTTCTTTTTTTTAAGTACAGAGAAGCAGAAACTCCCCCATCCTCTTCACCCCTCCATCTGGCTCCTGCTGTTACTTGTTTTCAACCGAATTTTGTTCTTCTGTGATTCTTTGACTTGATGAGGGCCACTGTCGGGGGGAGCATCCCCCAAACAGACAATGCGCTGCCTCTGCACGCTGGCAGGAGGCCACTTCTCTTTGTGCTGACTCAGCAGCCAGGCTCCCAGGCTGTGGCACAAGTAGCATTCCTGGGGAAAAGCCTCTCCCTGTTATAAACACTCATGAAGACAATTCCTCACTGGGAAAAGAACTGAAATCTGCTGCTCAATCTTAATGAGACCACAGTTTAGCTCGCCTTTTGGTCTGATTAGTTTTTTAAGATTCATGCCTATCATTCAGCATAAATCAACATTAAAAAATAATTCTTCTCTGTTAACAACTCACCCATGAGGTTTTTGGGTTTTTTTTCCCCCCTCCTTTCTTTTTCTGTTTTTAGTTAAACACTAATTTCTCATCCGTTCCAGTTCTGAGCTGGCTCAGGTCAGAGATTTGGGCTGTTTTACATCTGAAAGGAGGGAAGGCAGAGCCCTGACAAAGGGCAGAGAATTCCTGATACTGTTCTGCACAGAGGTATTGAAGTTGTAACTTCATTTCAGTTACAGCAGCTACTGACAAAAAGCCATCACTTAAGAAGCAACAGTTCCCTGGACGCACATCATTTAGCATTACATTCAGGCCAATACTCAAGGCTGCTAGTGCTACTTTTTCATTGAAATGATGACTAATATATAATCGTTCCAGGACTTGACAGTGCACAAAATCTCAAAAAATCATGACCTGCAAGTGCATTTGCACCTGCAGATTTTGCAATGTTCGCAGGTGCACATTTTGGGAAAGAAATATCAGCTTTGAAATACAGCACAGGAGCGGTTCATATACCGTCCTTAGCAGTGACACTTCCCAAATGAGTATGAAAGAATCTTGCAAGACCACATAATAAAGGGTCACTGAAATGATGAACAGTGAAAACTGAGCCAATTTAAAATACCTCCAACATTGACGTCCTTACAGGGAACTCAAATTGGGGGCTCCTAGGAGCCAAAGCATAGCCAGCCACTGCAGCCAAAATGCCTTTTTGGGGCCATTCGCTGACATGCACGATTTCCAGGTGGGTTATTTTACCTGTTTTCTGGTCCTCGTCTTGCCTGTCCTGAGTTTGATGTATCTGGCTATCAATTCATTCCTACCTGAAAGAAAGAAGAATTTACCATGAGGTGGGTTACCAAAAAACCAGACCAACAAAGCCACTGAAAGCAAGAAACAGAATTCAGAATCAAGAATTTTAAAACTGCAACTATGCATTTACTAATGCTAGAAAAATAAAACAGCACAATTGTCTGCAAAAATGTTTACTAGGAAAAATTAAGATGAAAGGCATTTAATTTTGAACTTAGACCAGCATCTGAGAATAGAAATTTATCTTTTTGAAATGTGCCTTTTTGTTTGTTTGTATACTTGTACCTAAGTGGGTGGTGGGTCACTCACATAAGCAACAAATATTAGCAAGGATTAGTCTGGAAATAAACTGAGTTATGTTCTAGTCTTTGATTTTTCATGTTCAGATTCATATTCATTTCCCTTCTCATTCAAGTTTCTTCTCATAATTAACTCCAGCTAGAATCACAGCCACAAGAAGATGAACGAGCTGGTGTGGCCACAGAAGCCCTACAATGACAAGCTAACAGTATGAAAGTAGACACCCCCTAAAGGTAGTCAGTGAAAAAGATGACACAGTCTCCTCCAAGTTATATAACCTTCTGGGGAAAGAACAATGCCTAAAAGTATAAACAAAAACCTTCATCCCTACCCATCAGGAAAATGAGAAGTCTCAGATAACCTGACTTCCGAACACTGTAATATAACAGGAAAATATATCCCCAGAAGCTAAGCAGAGAAATGTATTACTAAGATACTACGTGGGGAAAAACCACTCATACAAGACATAGGTTCTTCTGAGCAGGTCATATTTATGACTTCAACTTGCTCTAATACCAGGAACTGAAATTATTTCTACATACTCTACACAGTAAATGGAAAACCACCATTTCATAGCACTACTGTTGTCTGGCTTTGTATCAGCCCAGCTCCATCCTTGTGAAAATCTCCTTTGGTCAAGAACAAGCCTGAAGCCCGCTGCTGTGAAATTCACTCATGTGCTTCACCAGCCTGAGACGGTTGTGCTAGATTCTACTTTTCCTTCAACGCCCCACTTGGATGTCACTCTCTTGGGGAAGTCTTCTCTAATCGCACGACTAGGTTTGGTTGCCTTGCTCTATACCCCCATGGCAGCACAAACTGCACTTCTCCTTCCTAGGATGTACCCAAATTGTAACTGTATTTATAATGGTATAGATAGTTGTAAAATTTGTGTTAGCTGTCTTACTTCTTCCCAGATATACAGCATAGAGGGGGAGAACTCTGTCTTCTTCCTCAGTGTCCCCCACAGCACCTGGCACCTTGCTGGGCACAGAAAATAGGAATGAATAAAGAAATAACACAGCCTCTGTTGAAAGGGAGTGACCATATCCCCCAGATCTTCCCTGGCAGAGTAAAGAACCAGAAACACTGATGAAGACCAACATCAAAATGTCCTTAGGGAAATCTTGTCTGAGAATTCCAAAGACTCTCTCATCACTACCTAGAATGTCCTGTAGTCATGGCTCTGTCCACCACCTGCCAGTTGGGACTATGCAGGACGTGGTCATCACTGGAAGGCAAAGGAATCACAAAATCTTGGGGCTGGAAAAGTACTCCTAGGTCATCCATTTCCATTCTTGAAAGTCTAAGTCTTCAGAAGCCTAAGTCAGCACTTCTAAAATTGAGGAAGTAGCCCATTCTATCTTAGAACATATTTATGATAAAAAGACCCTCCTTTTGGGGGTCTGCTTTAACTTTCACCTCCAGATCCTTCCTGTTCCTCTTAACAAGAAGTCCCATCCCTTATTTATACAACTGCCTTTCAGATTATTAATGGCAGCTCTCAGGTCCTCTTGGAGTTGAACACAAGCTAATCCTCCATGTTCCTTTGTTATCTGACAAGCTTTGGAACACTCCCACACACCATCCTGTGACCATTCTTTGTCTTCCTTTCAGAGCTCACAGTCCAGAACTGTGGCAGTGCTCCTGCTATACAGCTTCAGAGAGGGTTTATTATCTCTTTCATGCTAAATACTCCACCTCTGTTAATGAAGCCAAACACTGCATTAAATTATTAAGGAGTACAATAAATTATTATATGCGCCAACTTAAACTCCTAGGTCTTTTTCATATGGGCTCCTCTTCACATATGTCCCTCCCCGTTTCTTTTTAATGCATAGCTGAGGTTTTCAGATCCCAAAACAGAGCCTTAACATTTATTTCTACTCCACTTAATCCCCTTAAATTCAGTCTATCATTCCAGTCTGCAAGATCTTCCCAGATCCTGATTCTGTGACTGAACCCTTTTACCACCACAAAAGGATCTCTAAATTCAATTCTGAGTACTGCTTTTCTAAGCATTCTCTTTCAAACTTTTGAGAACTACCAATATCCCCTGTAGTGTCATTGGATCTACTTCTCCATCTCTCAGATGGTTGTACAGATTTTGCAATTTGTCTCGAAAACTCACTGACAGCAGAGCCCAGCTAGAAGTACCTAATTACCAGAAGCCAGACCGAAATGACAATGTCTGCAGACAAGCCAAGCATCCTCCAGCCTGGGGCCTCACTGTGCATCCTGTTCGGCGCTATTTGAGTGGCCAAGGCGAAATAGATCCAGGGCTCTGTATTACATACAATTTCATCCCAACCTCGTCCAGACGGCAAAAATGTCTCCTACCCTCAAACTCACTTATTTTCCAGGAAAACAGACAGAACAGCTTGATAGGTGTGACACATAACCTATAGAACTAATTTTCAATTTCTTGTGGCACTTGAATGAATAAATTCAATATCCAAGACAGCCCTATTTGACTGTGTACTATAGACTATACAAATGGCACCCCTTGGAGTTAAACAGTGTCAACTCATACTTTGAAGTAAAATCATGTACTACATAATGACATTTTGGTCAACAATGAGCTGCATACACGCTGGTGGTCCCATCAAATTATAATGACATGATTTTACTCTATCTTTTCAATGTTTAGATTATGTTTAGATATTCAAATACTTACCATTGTGTTGCAATGGCCTATAGTATTCAGTACAGTCACACACCGCACAGGTTTGCACAGCCTAGGTGTGTAGTAGGCTGTTCTATCTAGGTTTGCGTAAGTACACTTGATGATTTTCTAACAATGACTAAAACTGCCTGATGATGTATTTCTCAGAACGTATCCTGTTGTTCAGTGATGCATGAGGGTACTTCTAACATTACTTCAACAGTTCCTTACTGGGTACCGTGAGCTGGGCACTACACTGCAGTCATTATTTCATTGAAAGTTCATCTTAACTCTGAAGCCCTTGCTTTTCAGATGAGCAAGATCACCTTTCAAAAACCCACGTTCTTTGTTTCATCTATGTTTGAAGCCATGAATAGTAATTATTTCTTTTAACTGTTAGAACTACCTGCTTTAAATTATAAAATCTTCCCTAAAACAACTCTTAGAAACCTAATAAATTCTCTTAAATGCACTGATACTACATATAAAAATAGTACAATTTCAACTTTCCCCAGATAGAATGATTAAATCACCTACTTCATTGTACATTTTAATTTGGAAATACAGGCTGGTCTGTTACCTAGGCCAAATTATTTTTTAATTACTTGAAATATCAAATACATAAATCCTTTAAATAAAAAACTAACCGTATGGTTTTGATTCTATTAAAATTTTCTATGTTTAATTCTAAATCTTCACAAAATTAAAATATACTTGCCTGTTTAAAGAAGCATGCCACTCCAAACAATTTTGGGCTATTTGGGATTGTATATATATGGGTGATATCAACTAGGTTCTGAGGTGAGTCTTGTCAGTGGCCCTGATAGGACATCCTAGTCCCTATCTATATTTCCTTTTTTGTTTTATTTTTTTCAGACAGGATCTCACTTTATCACCCAGGCTGGAGTGCAGTGATAAAATCACGGCTCACTGCAGCCTCAATCTCTCAGATTCAAGCAATCTTCCTGCCTTGGGCCCCCAAGTAGTGTGGGACTGTGGTAGCACACGGGACTACAGGCTTGCTCCACTACATAAGACTGATTTTTGTATTTATTTATTTTTTTAGTATAAACCAGATTTCATGTTGCCCAGACTGGTCTCAAATTCTGAGCCCAATAATCCGCCCACCTTGGCCTCCTAAAGTGCTGAAATTACAGGCATGAGCCATTGTGCTGGCCCCTACGTATATTTCTACAGCTCTGCCCTCCAAGGGGGTGAGTTCACAGATTCCACAGCCCTGGATTTGAAACATGTTACTAAGATGCAGCATTTCCTAAGGGCCAGAAGACAAGCAGCACCATCACTGATGTAATTGAAAATGGGTCTCCAAGCTACACAGCACAGTACAGTTTTGCAGCCATGATCTTCACACACACACACACACACACACACACATACCCACCAGATTCAATAAACCTGATGTTATAAAAATGACTTTCAATAAAGTTAACTTTAATTTAATTACTATTTTCCTAAACCAATCCTGCAGTCACCTAGGGACTGTCTTCCTTTGCGCCTTGCACCATGCCTGTCCGGTGAGTCAGAAATATAAAGCTTCTCTGCAACATAAAAATTCCTTTAGAAATGTACAACATGTCACCTCTCTAAGCCTCAGATGCTATAGCTGCAGCTGCCCTTGTTTTTCCCACCAGTCGCACATAAGCAGCAAAGAGAAACACAGCCTGACCTGTCACTTTTACACTGTGATCCGTGCCAGGCACTGTGATCTAGTTTTTATTTCATTTATTTTTTCTTCTTCCTAAATAATTTAACAGAGTTCAAAGTGAGTCCATCACTGGCTTCTTTTGCATCTTGGATTGCCATGGAATTTCCTGCTTAAGGGGCAATACAGAGAAAGATCCCAGCAGAAAGGCATGGAGTTTGCACTGTGCTTGTCTTACCAGATAGAAGACTGGTTAACATTGCTGTGGGCTGTATGTATAATGGGATGTGGCCTCAAGGTCATGTTTGAGGCACAGCAAATGCAAGGTCTGTGGCTAGAAATTGTAGCCCAGAGACACTGAAGCTTTAATAGTGTAAGAGCCA